AGTACATTTCATGAGGTAGTAGGATCTGAACTGCAGGTTTGCTTTCTTCTTCTCTGTCACTGTTCTGCCTTATCATTAGGGTTTGAACTCACATGTTACAGCTTGATGGACAATTTGTCACCATTTTCAATGATTGGTAGTCAGCTCCACCCAGTCTTTAATATCAGTACTGCTGTGCTTCAAAGAAAATTTCTGGGTCTAGCAATTTTTTTACATCTTTGAAACATTCACCATTTGAGAATTGAAAAACAGGAACTGGCAGGGACATGATTTTCAGTAATCTGAACACAGTGTCCAATCCATCATTGTTGGTTTTGCATATATGCCAGAGAATAATTTGTCTATGCCTGCCCTAAAATGCAAATACTTTTGAATTGAAATTTAAGCAAGGTGATGCGAGGTTTCCAGAATTACCACTAGATTAAGTACGTTTACGATAGAAATGTCTTACTTCACTTGACAGTCACTGCAATGCACTTGCAGCCAGATCTTCAGGTGATTATCAATTTTCTTCCTCTTTTCTTTTCCTCTCCGAGCTCAGGGAGGCTGAGGTCAACTGCCTCTGCTCACCATGAAAGTTGAACTTGAGACTTCTGAAATGGTGCATCTCTACTTGCTGAACCATTAATAAAGCAGTTCAAGGACTTTTTCTAAATTAGAATTGATCATTTTGTTGGAAAACTACGAAAAAGATTTGCATATTTCTGCTTTAGCCTTCTGATCTGTAATATATCATGAAAAAAATTGTGAGACTACTTATTGATTACAATCTCCAGTGGAAGGATTTCTGTGATGCAGCAGAGTTGCCTAGAACAGAGACATTTCCAACTTCAATCCTGATAATCCTACCCATGAGCCCATATATGTTTTTGCTGTTTTGCCCTATTTGTATTTTTTTCAGCCTGGGGCTTGGAGAGAACAGTTTTTTGGGTGCTGTTGCCTCATTGGTGAATTCATCCTAAATTGCAGCTTGCTCACGTCAGTAGCTTGAGATGCACACAAACTGAGAGATTGTAAACTTAAGTTTTATATGTGGCCCATACAGTTTAAAACCTTGGACATTCCTGTTGTATGAAATAGTACATATCTGGAGTGAGTTGCAGTCGAGTATCTACTTGCGGAGCTTAGATGATTTAAATATAGAATAACAGAAATGCAGGAATGAATTACAAGGTGTTAGGATAGAATATGGTTGAGGAGTTCAAAAGAGTTCTGCAGTCTTTTTTTTAATCCTGTGGTGAATTTGCAGCCTTGAAATCCCTGTTGGATGTCTGAAAATCATTGTAATCCATGCTGTAACATTTATAGCCAGTTTCATTCAATTTTAATTCTCTCAGTTGCACTGGCTTTTGACCTGAAATATCATTATACTTAACTGCATTGATGTGCACTGGAACAATCAAAGGTTTTGATGTTTTTGTGACAAATTGAAAATAGTTTATGGTTAATTAGCTGCAAATTCCATGGTCAAATTTTATCACTGTCTAACTGGCAGGGAGGATGTCAATTCCGTTGTTGGAATTGAAAATCAGCTAAGTATTCACCCAGAGAGATACTTAAACAAAAACATGTTTGATTTGAAGTTCTGTTTTAAACTAATATCTCCTATGGATTTGTACCATGTTTTCCGATCCTTGGGAGAGTGGGATTTGGAGGGAGTTTAAGATTTGAGTGCATAGGCCAGAAGATAAGTCTAACCTTCCCTCCCCTGTTTGACATTAAATTGCAAACCACAAAACATGACTGAGCTCTTGAAAATGGTTGTGGGAATCTCTTGCAGTCTGGTAGCAGTAAATTCTGTGGATTCCTTTCTGAACTAAATTTTTTTAGGTTTGCCCTGCTTGATCTTCTGAAGTAAAGATATCATTGCTGAATGTTAAGTATGTAAAGTTTGTGTTTAATGGAAATTTCTACAGATATCACTTAATGATTGGTTGGTGTCAAATTAAAATATTTGCCAGCATTGTATTAGTCATACAGTCATAGAGATATACAGCACAGAAACAGACCCTTTGGTCCAACTCATTCATGCTGACCAGATATCCTAAATAAATCTTGTCAGCATTTGGCCCGTATCGCTCTAAACCCTTCCTATTCATATACCCATTCAGATCCCTTTTTAAATGTTGTAATTGTACCGGCCTCCAACACTACTTCTGGCAGCTCATTCCATACACGCACCACCCTCTGTGTGAAAAAGTTGCTCCTTTTTAAATCTTTCCCTTCTCACCTTAAACCTATGCCCTCTAGTTTTGGACTTGCCCACCCTAAGGAAAAAAACCTTGACGATTTGTCCTATCCATGCCCCTCATGATTTTATAAACCTCAAAGTTCACCCCTCAGTCTTTGACGCTACAGGGAAAATAGCCCCAGTCTATTCAACCTCTCTCTATAGCTCAAACCCTCCAACCCCATCAACATCCTTGTAAATCTTTTCTGAACCCTTTCAAGTTTCACCAGATCTTCCTATAGCAGAGAGATCAGAATTGCAAGAGTACTACAATAGTGGCCTAACTAATGTCCTGTACAGCCGCAATGTGACCTCCCAACTCGTATACTGAAGGCACTAACCAATAAAGGCAAGCATACCAAATGCCACTTTCACTATCCTATCTACCTGCAACTCTACTTTTAAGGAACTATGAACCTGCACTCCCAAGGTCTCTTTGTTCAGAAACACTTCCCAGGTCCTTACCATTAATGTAAAAGTCCTGCCTGATTTGCCTTTCCAAAATACAGCACCTCACATTTATCTAAATTAAACTCCATCTGCCACTCCTCAGCCCGTTGACTCATTTGATCAAGATCCCATTGTACTCTGAGGTAACCTGTCCACTACACCACCAATTTTGGTTTCATCTGCAAACTTACTAACCATACCTCCTACATGCACATCCAAATCATATATATAAATGACAAAAAGCAGTGAACCCAACACCGATCCTTGTGGCACACCGCTGGTCACAGGCTTCCTGTCCAAAAAGCAACCCACCACCACACCCTCTGTCTTCTACCTTTGACTCAGTTCTGTATTTCAAATAGGTAGTTCTCCCTGTATTCCATATGATTTAACCTTGTTAACCAGTCTGCCATGAGGACCATGATCAAACGCTTTACTGAAGTCCATATAGATCACATCCACTGCTCTGCCGTCAGCAGTCCTCTTCGTTACTACTTCAAAAAACTCAATCAAGTTAGTGAGACATGATTTCCCAAGCACACAACCATGTTGACTATCCCTAATCCGTCCTTGCCTTTCCAAATACATGTAAATCCTGTCTGTAAGGATTTCCTCCAACAACTTCCCCAACGCTGATGTCAGGCTCACTGGTCTATAGTTCCCTGGTTTTTCCTTACCACCTTTCTTACATAGTGGCACCACATTAGCCAACCTCCAGTCTTCTGGCACCTCACCTGTAGCTATTGATGATACAAATATCTCAGGAAGGGGCCCAGCAATCACTTCCCTAGCTTCCCACAGAGTTCTAGGGTACACCTGATCAGGTACCAGGAATTTATTCACCTTTATGCGTTTTAAGACATTAAGCACATCCTCATCTGTAATATGGAGAATTTTCAAGATGACGCTATTTATTTTCCCATGTTCTCTCTCTTCCATAGCTTTCTCCACCATAAACACTGATGCAAAATCCTCGTTTAGTATCTCCCCCATCTCCTGCGGTTCCGCGCATAGGCAGCCTTGCTGATCTTTAAGGGGCCCCATTCTGTCCCTAGTTACCCTTTGTCCTTGTCAGTTCTGAGGAAGGGTCGCCGGACCTGAAATGTTAACTCTGTTTTTTCCTTCACAGATGCTGCCAGACGTGCTGAGCTTTTCCAGCAACTTTGTTTTTGTTCCTGATTTACAGAATCAGTAATTCTTTTGGTTTTATTACCCTTTGTCCTTAATGTATTTGTAGAATCTTTTTGGTCTCTCCTTAACCCTATTTGCCAAAGCTATCTCATTTCTACCTTTTTGCCCACCTGATTTCCCTCTTAAGTATACTACTACTGCTTTTATACTCTTCTAAGGATTCACTCGATCTCTGCTGTCTATACCTGATACATGCTTCCTTCTTATTCTTAACCAAAATCTCAATTTCTCTAGTCATCCAGCACTCCCTGCACCTACCAGCCTTGCCCTTCACTCTAACAAGAACATACTGTCTCTAGATTCTCGCTATCTCATTTTTGAAGGCTTTCCATTTTCCAGCTGTCCCTTTCCCTTCCATTGGGAACATCTGCCCTCAATTAACTTTTGAAAGTTCTTGCCTAATACCATCAAACTTGGCCTTCCTTCAGTTTAGAACTTTAACTTTTAGATCCGGTCTATCCTTTTTCATCACTATTTTAATTCTATTAGAATTATGGTCACTTGCCCCAACGTACTCCCCCACTGACACTTCAGTCTCCTGCCCTGCCTTATTTCCCAAGAGTAGGTCAAGTTTTGCACCTTCTCTAGTAGGTACATCCACATACTGAATCAGAAAATTTTCTTGTACACACTTAACATCATGGCAGTCCCCAGTCTTGGTTTGGAAAGTTAAAATCCCCTACCATAACCACCTTCGTATTCTTACAGATAACTGAGATCTCCTTACAAATTTGTTTCTCTGTTTCCCGCTGACTATTTGGTGGGGTGGGTTGAGCTGTGGCTGTCTACAGTACAATCCCATTAAGGTAAATCTGCCTTCCTTATTTCTCAGTTCCACCCAAATAACTTCCCTGGATGTATTCCCAGGAATATCCTCCCTAAATACAGCCGTAATGTTATCCCTAATCAAAAACACCACATATTATTGAGAAACAACAAGGTTTAAATTTGTGGAAGGTATATGATTGATGACCATGTGTAACCCTAGTTTTGGGTAGAACAAACAGCACCATTAATTACCTATTAACTGCATTAATTATGAAGGAACAGTTCATTCCCTCCTATGAAGGGCTGACGAGGATTTATTCCCTGAAGTTCCTTTCACTTTGGCTCCTTTGTTCCCTCACAGATGTTGAAAAGCCAGATGAAAATGCCCCGGAACAGAGCAATGAGCAAGGTGGGACAGCAAAGCGCTACTATTTTGAAAACCTCAAACTCAGCATGCCACAAATCAAGATGAGTGTGTTTACCTCCAGCAAATTACCACTTGAACTCAAGGTGAGTTTCTTCAGACTTTTGTGCTTTTTAAAGAACAGTACACGTATCTTTAAGAAGAGTCTTGTTAATGTTGGTGGCCGCCTGAGGGCCTCCCAATTGTGGCCATTGTAATGGGTTCAGCATGTTTTTTTTATTTATGCTAAATAATAAACGAAGGAACACACATTGTAAGCAGGAGCTGGCTCAAAGAAACCCAGTACTGTACTCAATTTGTGAATGTTAGTGACTTATTCTTCTGTTGTAACAGCAGCAGATTCTGATACTAAAGGCAAATTCAAGCCGTTCACTTGCAGGGTAGTTTAGAGGCAGAGCGTTTTGTATTTGGTTAATTGGACAAAATTAATTTCTAATTGAAGTCTATAAGTTGGCTTGTGTAGTACAGTCTATGCCAGAACATTCTCCAAATAACTAGCTTTTTCTTTAGCAGGGTAAGAACTAATTCCTGGATGCTGAAAAACATTAGCAAAAGCAAAGGAGCATTTCTTACCTCTCCTGCCCAAACTGCTTTAATCATGAATTCCTAGCATTCTATTGTAAGTCATACTAAATTGTGTAGATTTATATATTCCTAACACAAAAGGCTTATCTGACCCACTTCTTTAATTAATTAGTTAAGCCCTACTGCTCTACAGTGAAGACTTGGCTAAAATTCTGCTGAAGACTGGGATCTTCAGAATTTAAGCCATAGATTTCAGTGAAACATGAACTGCAAATAAAAGTAGATTTGTGCAAAATGAGTTAGACTTTTTACCCACCAAATACCAAGATTTCTTCCACCTTTGTTTCCACCTTTCCTGCCTTCTTTCTGCTTTCACTGCCCTCTCCCCTTCCTGGCTTTTTCCACTTTACCCATCTTTTTTCACCCTCGTCTCACTTTTTCTCACCCTCTTCAGTTTCTCTCCCCTTCCTCTCACCTTTCTTTTGCCCTTACAATTTTTAGTTATCACTTTATTTACCCTCTGTCTTCCTCTTTTCAGGCCCACACCTTTTTTCTCCATCCCCAGTCCTTTTCCAGCCTCATCCAGTTCTTCAGCGTTTTTTCTCTTCCTTTTTCTTCCCTATGTTTATCTTCTCAATTTATATTTTGTCACAAGTTGTTGTATGATCACTTCCCTTTATGTAGGAATTTATTACACACTCTGAATATGGATAGTTAAGGATAAATTCGTTTTTTTTAGGTGAAGCAGGATTAGGATATGGGCATAAGTGGACAAGAGATAGTGGATATAATTCACACACTACATTAAAGCCATTCGCTTAACTTAATTTTGTATAATATTTGGATTTCTTATCACCATTTACGTATAAATAATAAAACCTAATAGCAGTTTGGATTACAGCATATATGGTGGCAGCACAAGTTTTTCACTGCAGTACAGAAATAGACATAATAAAGCAATTGCTGTGTTGTCACACAGAAGCAGTGAAAGGAGTGGATCAGTTTATATTGGCAGTTTACATTATAAATACAAACTCAGCTTACTTGGAAAAAAGTATCAGTATTATTGAAAACAGAGAGCAAGGTTTTATCAGTTTTAAGAATGCATCTGCACAGACCTCAGATTTTGGACATCTGTGTAAAATAAAAGGAAATCAAAGGCTTTCACTGATAGTACACTTAATTAAACTGCAGAAATTTCTCAACGTGTCTTGTATACAATGGATTACGTGCAGATGTAGTCATTGTAATGTGGGCAAATGCAGAAGTTATTTTCCTTTGTAAACATCCCATGACTAGTAATGAGGGCAGAAATTGTTTAAAATACTGGGGAAAACTCCACTCATCTAACAATACCAGGTATTCTTTTGTACCCAACTTAAATGTTGATATAGATAGGTGGAATCTTAATATGACATCTCAAACACATGACTTACACCCCTTAAATTGCAGTAATTTACAGTGCTTTAGAGGAATGATGATCTAGGAAATATCTTCCTGTCCAAGAGTTGGTCATGATACTTTGTCCTAGATTTTTTGTGCGGGCTCAGGAAGACCCGATATCTGCAGTTTTGTGCCTTCCAATATACACATCTGACCGATGTGTGACTTTGCTCAGGACTTTTGTCCTTTTATTTTTACAGCAGCTAGGTTTGCAGTGCCTTTTGTGTGCTGAAGTGGAATGTTTGAAGGATGTGAGTAGAGAGACACAAGCTGGCCAGAATGTCCACTTTGGATCTCCAGAATAGCAATCCAGCTCCCAATGCTCTTTTCTTAAAGGCCCACTAAACCCTACTTCATGACCACCCATTAACCCCTTTGGTCACTCCGCTACGCCCAAGCTCCTTGTTGCCCTTATACATCCTCCATAGCCACTCACCTAGTATGCACTAAGTACAGTCTTCACAGGTCATGTAACAGCAGTTGATTTAAAATCAAAATTTAAACCACCAAAAATCTATTGGAACCTTGAGTCGAAAATGATATCATTGACATTGGTAAGAAAAAGAAATGTGCCAATGCAAAAAAAAATCTATTAAGTGCCTATTAGGTTTTACAGCCTGTTAAAAGTTTCCATCATTCTTGGATCAGTAAACCACTTGTTGAGCTGAAGTCATTGGAATATTTTTTAGACAATACTAATTCATAATGCTGCAATATTAGAACAAAAGTCTCCAACTACATCATCTGAAACCAACAGGATAAAATGGTGATCTATTTCCATTTTTAAAATTTTAAAAGCAGGATTATATTTAACAGTCAGAGCTGTCAAATGATTTAAATCACAACATAAAACATGACAGCAGAGGCTGACATTTTGTAAATTATTTTTAATGCATAATGGCAATTTTTCCTTTGGGAAAAAACTAATGAAGTGAACAATTGCAACAGTTATGGTCAATGTGGAATACTGTGGTCAATATTTAATTTACCTTTCCAGGACAGACTTTGTGATGATTAGCTGCATTAAAAACCCATCCACATTACAATGCAGAATTTAAGTGTTATTTGAAGGTATCAATAAATTTTACACTTAACTTTCAGAATATTCCTGAATTCTCAGCATGTTTCCCCCACTGTTCAGTAAGTGTCCAAACAGGTATATGTTGTTGGGCTTCCAAAACGTAACGCACAAAATCGTTTGCGGAAGGAAGTACAGCTTTTCTGTGGTCCTCACAATAGGGGCCCTGCCTTTGGAAGAGGTGCATGTGAGATTTGCACCTAAAGCTTTCCTGACCCACCAAATGGCCACAAAAAAAAGTGTCGTCAGAAAGTCACAGGAAAATTGCTTTTTCAGCAATAAAGTTCAGCATTTAAAGCCTGATTTTTTTTTTTTTAACTACAGTGGGAAACTTGGCCTCTCGACTTGTGACGGATAAGTTAATTGAATTGACTATGAATCCGTAGAACTCTGTTGCTGTCATGCAAGTATCAATTTGATGTTTTTATTTGTTATAGGCTTTGAAGGGTATTCTGGGAATACGATTGATTCGATTTGAGGATGCAGTTATTCACTTGGATCCATACACCAGAGTGCATCCGTATGAGACACAGGAATTTATCATCAATGACATTCTCAAGCACTTTAAGGAGGTGAGGATTGGAAAAGCCAGTAGAGCTGGTCAGATCTCATTGGTAAAAAAAACAACAAAATTCATATTTTCCTCTGTGTGTGTGTGTGTGTGTGTGTGTGTGTGTGTCCTAAATGATAAATTATGATTCTGTCTAAGCAGTGATGCAGCAGATGAAAGCACAATCGAGAACTAATAATTAAAGCAACAATTGTAATGAATGTGGAGCAGGATTGAATGGCTGAAAAGTTTACTAAAGCTATTGTTAATGTTTTGTACTTAATTGGTGCAGACTGTAGAACGGTATCAAAGGTGTTTTATTTTCTTTTGCCAACAGTTACTTTTGTAATCACTCTAGGCTAGTTCTGAAGGACAAAAAACTGATTTGGCAAAAGTCTGCATTAATATTTCAATATCGGATGAGATTTTTGAGTATTGTAGTGTGGATTAAATCTATTAGATGGATGCTGTATTCTAACGTAATCAAATTGTACAATTTGTGATCAAACATACAACTCGGTTCTCCGAACCTCTGAGCTCCTGACCAGACTCATGCCCATGGTGTTGGATCTTAAGCAAGTGTTTAATGTGACCCAGTGGTCATTCATTAGTTTATTTGTTTCTACTAAGCAATATACTGGGTTCCTGTTACACCCTTGCTCACATCTTTTGACTTAAGATGGGTCATGGGTTGGATATTGGATATTCCTGGTCTCCACAGTTTAATACAAGTCGAGGTGATGTAGGTACTAAATGATCTATTCAAGCAACATGTATTTTGCAACATATAAGTAGCTGCAAGTGGCATACTAAATGTGCATGACATCTCTTGACTCACAATTGTCAATACTAATTTAAAATAAGTTAAGTTCTTACAACAAGCTAAAGCAGTGCTCTATCTGTTAGCTGTCTCTACTTGCACAACACATCATTATTCCATGTTGTAACAACTGGTGTAATTGTAATTATTGCTACCTCATCTGTAGTATTTGACAATTTTGTTCATGATACAAGTTCTGTCTGTGGTTCCTGTGGTATGGTGGCAATGTCTCTACCTCAGGGCCAGAGGCCTAGGTTCAAGTCCTTACCTGTCCAACAACATGTCTGAACAAGTTGATTAAAATAAGTGTGTTCTTTGATCTCGGTTGTTTAGATCAGTGACTTCTGTCCTAATTCAGGGGTTAAGCATGGATCATGCAGACTGTAACCACCTTACAAGTGGGATAGATCAAAGTGTCAATTCCATGCTTGTGATAATTATTTAGTCTCAGCCAGGACCTTGGTGAGGGCACTACATTTGACCTTTTTATTTTGACACTTTTTTTAAAGCTCAGGAAGCTACTGAATTGTCAGAAAAACACAACTGGTGAACTAAAAGCCAACGAGAATGAAAACTTACCCAGTCTGACCTCTGTGAGTCAATAAGCCCATGAAATGTGATTGACCATTAATTGGTCGTTTAAATAGTCTCAGTAGCTATTTAGATATACAGTCATCTCAAATATGGCCTATAAAGTAATGCCTACTTCACAAGAAAAAAATTTTTTTTTAAAAGAACAGTCCGTTTCAAAGACAGTAAAATGTGTCTTTATCCTCAGGAGTTGATGAGTCAAGCAACTCGAATCCTGGGCTCGGTGGATTTTTTGGGCAATCCCATGGGACTTCTGAATGACGTTTCAGAAGGTGTCTCCGGGCTGATCAAATATGGAAACGTTGGAGGCTTGATACGAAATGTCACGCATGGTGTCTCCAATTCAGCTGCTAAGGTACTGTACACAACCATAATCAAGCTGATTGGTGATTTTTTTCATTAGGCTGCTGTTCATGTGCACGGATTTATATCCATCCAAGAATTTTTCTTTTAAATTGGCAATCTTTGAGCAAGTGATCAGCATCCTTAAAGTCTGACTTAGCCCATGTTGCTGCCTTAGTATTGAAAATCCTAAAGTTGGAAAATCAGTGGGGTCATTGATAAGATGTAATGATGTGCATGCAAAATGCACAATCACACCGGGTGTGTTATTTTCACAAAGGTTTGAAATAATGTAATGCTGGATATTGAAAATGTTTGTACTCACTTCACTTGACATGGCAACTGCAACTACACATCAAAAAAAACATTCACAGAGGTTTTTTGAGTGTCGTGAGATTGTGGAAGGCATTATAAATCAAATTCATATTATTTATCAATAAAAATGTCTAGCCAATATAATTATATATTTGCCTTTCCAGTCAAGAGTTGTTTATGATGCCAGCATTTTGAGCTGGACTACACTAAAGTGATTTCAAATCTGTCATTGGAGGAATGGAACCAACAGGAAGTAAATATTAAAACTATTTCAGTTGTCATTGCATGAAACTCTGTGAAATACTGACCTTTTAAAATTGCATACTAACATCAGTAGACAAATAAGTCTAGTTAAATTCCACATGAGACCTTTAACTCTGCTCAGTGGAAACATGAATCAAAGAATCAGGTGCACAGGTGTGCGTGCCCAATTTATGATGATTCCAATTATCAGGTAGTTAAATTTCATTTGCATTCTTGATCTTGTTTGCAATTTTCTATCACCAAGAATTGCAAAATAATAGAGAAGGCTATAACAAGGAAATTTAAAAGTGAACAAGATGCTATAAAAGCAAGCTAGTTCTATCTGTATTTGTAGTAAGGAAAGACAGCTTAACTTTGCATATGTTAGCTCTGTCTAAAACTGGAAACTGTGAGGAAGCCCCTTAATAGGACTAAACAAAATTGGTTCGGGTGTCAGACTCTTTTATCCCTTATACATAAGGGATACGGTTATCTCCAAACAGAACCGCAGCTGTAACTACTTTCAGTGTCATTGCCGACAGGAAGTGAATGGCTGTTAACTGAATCTGTGAAGTCAAATGAATAGGACCTGTAGGAAGAGCAATACATATAATTAAGAAATCTTTTAATTTTGTATGTAAAATACTTCTCTATTTCTTTATTTCACAATTGCTATAAATGCCAGCATGTAAGTCACACCTTAATTTGAGGGCTGGCAGGAGGAGGTGGGATAGAGTGAGGCCGTTGTTGTTATTTATATGGTAGTAAGGGCAGTTTTCATGTTTCTAAAACTAAATCTCAACACACTTGCTTTGTGGACAATTCTCAATCATGGTTTGGAGTCTTCTTGCTATGTTTATAGACCGTAACTAGCGAATGATTGTTTATATTGAAAATGGCTTGATTATTGTCTACCAATTCAGTGAGTAAGTAAAGTGTGGATACAAGTTAAAGTTTAGGACAAAGGTACAAAGCTTTGTAAAGCAGGAGTAAATGTCAGGCACTGGGCATGGGGGGTGGTGCACGTGATCCATGCCTACTATTGTTCCAAATTAATACCCAGACGAAATTTGGAGTTTGTTTCTGCTGTCAAGTGGAAGAGTTTGAAATGAAAAGAATTTAGGACAATGTTTAGTACCATTACTATTGTAACATATCACTGTATGAAACTGAGGGACTTCAATGAAGAACTAACCATATAAACAAGATAGTATTATAGTTGAGATGGATAACAAACTTTACTACCCAATCTGTCGGTAATGTTCTAAAGGCTGCTGGAAAAAAGTGACTGTTGTAGTTGCTCTGGTTTTCATCATAAAAGTAATTGATGAAACAACTGAATGTAGTCCCATTGAATTAAACAACAGCTCAGAGGTATGGGCAGAGGGGTAAAAGAGGACATGGAAGAATAACCTCCCACTCACTAGAACATGTCATTTATGGTTGGTTAGGGTAATTTTGGTACTGTGATTGTTATGATCCCAGCTGATGTTATTACTGAACAAATCAGATCCCTGATTGAAATCTTACTTGATAGATGTTTTTCCTTTGAGTATATCAAGGTGGTCTTTCACTGAAATATAAACACACCATGCTGCAAATTCAGGTTTAACAATAAAACAGAAGTTTATTGTGCAAAAGAAATGAAGATAAAATTGAAAAAAACAAACAATTAATTTGTAACACAAATTTAAGGGATTTGAAACATATGATAAAATGCAATCCCATCAACCCCACCAGCACTGCTTTATAATACTCACATTAGAGAGCATTTCCTTATCTTTCACATCTATAGGTCTTAGGTGAACCACAGTTTCAATTCCCTGTCTTGAAAATCTGATGGCCTCTTCCTGATACCTTTGTACAACTATGCTTAGACTTTCTTAGCTTCTCATAACCCCTTCAGAGTTTTAACCAAATACCTCTGGTCTGGAAATTTTAAACTAAATGCTTTACACTGAGGTAACCTCATTTTTAGTACTCCTAAAACTACATCCCTTTCTTGGGAACAACTGTTTACACATTGAACTTCAGGCAAGATTTTTGCTAACTGCCCCAAACTGAAACTAAAAACCTTTATTTATCCAAGTTGTGGGTGTTTCTCCTAATCCCAAAAAAGACATTTCCAGAATCTTCTATCTGAAAACCTAATTTGCTACACTGTTTACTTTGTTCCCTCCTAAACGCTTCCAAATCCCTGTTAATCTCCAGGAAGTTCTCTCTACAGTTGTGACTTAAAAGAAATCACCACAGCCATAGAAATATTTACCAGCAAATCATTAATCCGTTCAGGCATACAGAAAACATGTGCCATTAGTTCAAAATTCAAAATCTAAAAATTAACCATAAAAATGTATAAACCACACACCCTACATCACACCTGCCCCCAAAGAAGAATGAAAATGCAACTTTGAGGCCTTTTCTTGTTACTTATTAAAAAATTATCTCAACACGGTTTTTGTGTCAGAGTAACAATAGTAACATGTTAACATTAAACATAGTGAGATATACAGTGGCAATATTTTACCTAAATATATGGGCAACACATCACTTGTGTCCTTCAAATGGGCTGTTCATTAAACAACTGCAATAGCATTTTCTTTTCCAGATGCATGAACAATTTTCAAATTATACATTTGGATAATAAGACTCCACTGAAGAAATCATGAATTCTTGTCCCCAAATTTTTTGAGAAAATCAAAGGGTTGTGATCGATATAAATAAGTTTCTTCCACATTGTTGCTGATATATTTTTCAGAATGATGTCGATTCATCACAGGATTTGATGTCTCCTTCTCCATAATAGATTGTTTTGCTGACATACGATCAATTTCTTTGAAAAATAACTGGCAGGCCATTCAATCGCCATCTCCCCATCTTGCAGTAAAACAGGACCCACACCGATGTTGCTGGTGTCAACAGTTAGTTTGAAAGGCCTCTCATACCTATGCACAGCTGAAACAGGTGTGGTCTTCAGCAGAGCTTTCAAGTTTTCAACAGCACTTTTACACTCTTGCATCCATTCAAATTTTCTGCCTTTTTGATAAGTCATTCAAGGTGCAGCAAGTACAGTATAGAAGTTCTGAACAAACTTGCTATACAATCTACTTATGCCAACATAAACAAAATTTCATGTTTTGTCCTGGGCACTGGAAAATCAAAAATAACCCATACTTTCATTGCTTTAGGTACTACTTGTTCCTGTCCATCAGTGTGGCTCAAATAAGTCACCTTTGCTTTGACAAATTCATCCTTAGACAGATTTATAACCAAAATTGGCTTTTTGTAGCCAATGTCACAGTTCAATGAGGGTGGAGGTTAGATAGACCTTAGGATTAGGGTAAAAGTTCGGCACAACATCGTGGACCAAAGGGCCTGTACTGTGCTGGACTGTTCTGTGTTCTATGTTCAATGTTCAATCAAGTGGTGTAAATATTTTTCCCAGGTTGGCTATAAACAACCAAATTGGCAATGTAAACAACACAGTTACACAGTCCTTCAATGACTTTAGTTCATTACTGAAACATTGCTGATTTTTCATTTCAGGCAGTATTGATAAAGTCCATCTGGTATTTCTTTGGCTCTATCAGTCAATGATACTTGCCAGTATCTTCTTAGCAGTTTATGTGATGAATCAAGCGTGTTCATTTCATTCAATATAGTCCCCTAATCTTGGAATAGGAAATGAGTACGCTTTTGTCAACATATTGACTTTGCGATAATCAATATAGAATCTTTGTGACGCGTCGGTTTTCCGGCCATCACAGTAGATGAGCTCCAGCTTCTATGACTCGGTTCAAGAATGTCATTGTCCACCATGAACTTAATGTCTTCCCTCACTTGAGATAATATGTCTAGATTGAGCCAGTACAGTTGTCATTTTATAGGTAATACATCGCCCA